AGAGACCGATGATGAGGACAGGTTGGTAGGAAGCAGTTCAGATTCTGTCAGAAAGTCTGAGGATGATATATCACTCCCGGACAAGAGGCGGTGACACATCAGATAATAGGTAAACTTTTTCGGGGGTTGTTACCCTCCTATGGGCTCCTCCACGACTCCTCTCTCCTTGAAGCGCCTCTAGCCTCTGGACACCACGCTTACAGACGCAGCAAACTTTCTTGCTACAGTTTGCATTGATGTGCCATTCTGAATGAGCTGCACTACCAAGCCACTTGTGTGGGTTGTAGAGTCTGTTTCATGCTACCATGAGTGTGAATTCAAAAGTGACCAAAAAAAAAGTGACCAAAAAATCAGCCAGAAAACAAAAGTATTAAGAAGGAATCTGTGGTCCCCACCTGCAGAACCACTCCTATATTGATTAAGTTTTGCTAATGGACAACAATTTACACCTACTGTCTAGTCCATTTGTATAATAGCAAATGTAATTGATTGTCTATCAGTGTTGCTGCCTAATTGGACAGTTTCATTTCACTGAGTTTGATTTGATTGAAGTTATATGTTGTTGTCTAAATGTTTTCTTTATTATTGTCTCTCCTAAGAGCTAAGAAGAGAAAAAGGACAAGAGTCCTTGTAATGAAGAGCAAGATGCCATTCCTGCCACTTTCAACACATCCTCTAGGGATTACATGACTCAAAAGGTCAGGTTTGTTTGTCAAAATGTATTGTGAAAGAAAACTCTGACTGATAGAAAGCAGAGTGACAATTCCTATCATACAGACTTTCCAGGTGTATAGATGGCATTGGGACTGATTAATATTTATGAAAATGATGCTAAATACAGATAGATAATGAAAAGATACAATTCACTTTATGGCATTTATGTAGCTCATATTAAGTAAATATTTTGTAAGTAAAAGTTAGAACTTACACACGGATATCTTATGGTGGTTATCTTTGCTTGGCAGCATCTTTACACCTCGAGATTTAAGTTCTGTCATCTTCTTCACTGTTGAGAGAACAAAACAAAGACAAAAGGGAGAAGAAAGAGTTGGAAAATGAGACCCATCAACCACTCAATATCTGCAACACATTCATTGAATTTGTTGATTATGGCACTACCCACTGGGTTATGTTTACATTGATTTATAACAAATTAATTTATAAACCTGTCAAATAATTGTCTAATTGTGAACAATAAGAAAATTAATACAAAGACAATTTTTTTTCTATACACCAATTCATTTTCCGTCACGCTTATCCCAAGTGGGGTCGCAAGGGGTGCTGGTGCCCATCTCCAGCTGTCTACCGGCGAGGGGAGGGGTACACCCTGGACAGGTCGGCAGTGCATCGCAGGGCACTACACAAGACAAACAACCGTTCATGCACAAACTCACACCGAATTTAGAGAAACCAATTCACCTAGCATTAATTTTGGACTGTGGGAGGAAGCCGGAGTACCCCGAGAGAATCCAGGCATGCACAGGGAGAACATACAAACTTCATGCAATAAGACCTTGGGAATCGAACCCGTAACCTTCTTGCTGCAAGGCAGCAGTGCTACTCACTGCCTTACTGAGCAACCTAACTTTGTTTCCACTTTTGGACATAATAATTTTACAATAACTGACAAAGAAGGGAATTCTTAAAGTTCTTTGTGCTTCTTGGGAATCCTTTATTGAAACAGATTTATTCAGCTAAGATATGATATGAAAGACCAGAAGAGCATATTAGGATTAAAAATAACTCAGGTTTCGTACAAAGAAAATATGTAGTTTAAGAGGGGAGTCTTTTTATAACTGCAGCAAGATTAAAAGATAAGTTATCATGGTAGAATAAAAAGCTAACATTTATTCCTTAGCGAAAACACACTTTCAGCATTATCAAAGACCCTAATAAATGACTTTGACTTTCTGTGACAGTGGAATTAAGGGTGTTTTTTTTTTTTTATTCCTTGCCTCATTTCAACTGAATCTTATCCAGATGAATCTAGGCCATGTGTCAAAAAGTCAGTTTAAGATGCCTTTGATAAAAGATATGGCAATTAGAAAGATTTGTCCTCTCAACAACACAGCTTGTTACTGGTATTTTGGTGTCTAAATTGTGACGACTGATTCAGGCTTTGAAGCAATGTGCGTAGTTTCTGACAGCAGAAAGAAGGAGTCCTATTGATTTTATTTCGACACTTGTGGTTTTGCAAAACTGTTGTGTATTTAATCTTAACTATCATGAATAAAAAACATAATTTCAAGTGGCCAAAGGCAGAAATTAAGTAATCAGTTTTAGTATTAGATTATTGGACACTGTCTACATTTAAACAGAGACAGTATCATGTTGTCCCTTCAACACCATGGGAAACAAAATGGCCATGGTGTTTAAAAACATTCTATAAGAAAAAAATAAATAAATTTTGAACAACGTCAAATCCTTTCTAAATTCATCATAAAGAATGTAAATAAATGTTTTCCTTTAATTTAATGTAAATCATAGGTTGGATCAACACTTTTGTTAATCCAAGTCCCAAATAAAGGTCTAAAGGAGAGTGAATATTAAAAGCATGCAAACCTTTAGTTCAGTCAAACTTTTAACTCACTCTTAAACATGTATTGGAACTGATAAGCAACATTTTTCTCTTAGATTTATAAATCAATTTTAATGGCCAGAACAACCAGGATGAGAAAGTGAAACATTTAAACTAGAGATGATGTTGATTTGTACTGAACATATTAACTAATGAAAGACAAACTTTTGTTGAATTAACATAACTGATTCATGAGGGAAAAAAACAGAATTCTTTGATAAATTTCATGTTCATTTTAACCAACTTACACAGTAAAAAATGTTTATAAGGATGTTTGAGTAACATAACTGTAGATTGTCAAAATAAATCAAAATAGAAACATAGTGTATGAAAATGATTTATATATTAAGACATTATTTATGCTGCTTCTTTTTGTGTGTTTGTCTTCGCCTCTGGTTTGGAGCACTGAAACTATGGGGAATATTTAAAATTTTAATAAATATATAATAAAGGATCTTACTATATACTCAATTTCACCTGATTTAATGTAAACTACCGTAACCACCTGATTTAAAAGACAAACCTAATGACAGCAAATTGAACTGCTAATCATTTGATTAAAATGCCAATCAAAAATCATATCTTTTTATCAGTTTAAATTAGACTCAGAAGCTGTGACTTCCAGACTCCATAGAGCGCACAAAACCACACCACTCTCCCCAGAATTGCAGTCAAGAATTACTCTGTGTTTTGTTTGGATTTAAAAGATGACTAAACGTGTTTCAATATGGTGCAGAGTTATGCTGCAGTGTGCAATACCTGTTGATTGGGTGACACTGCTGGCAGCCACTCCACCCCTTTATTTACCTTTATTTCACTTAATTCTTGGCCTAAGTGGCATAAAGATGATTGTAATTGTCTGGTTTAGTTTGGATTGTATGGGATTATTGGATATAGGTTTATTGATTTAGTTTAATAAACTATACTAATTAGGCTATGTCTGCCCAGAAAAAAAAAAAAAAAAATCCACCAACCTTCTTTTTTTTTTTTTACAGTTAGACTACTGGATGGATGGATGGATGGATGGATGGAT